TAAGGAGGATAAATTCAAGGTGAGAAAGCTCGAGCGTACGATTCTAGCATAATTAACGCTCGTGTTCAACGTCGCCAAAGTTACAAGTAATTGTCCTCGAGCTTGGTGAGAACGTTAGAATTTAGATCTTTCGAATTAGTACGAACTTTAGTTTTCGCATCTTCTGGTGATAGAGATGAGATCGGAATGAGAAATATTTATTTTTATGAAAACTTTTAATATCGTTCTTTTAAAAGTTTACATAATTGATTATTTAAATATTATCGTTATCATTTTTATTTTATGATAAATGATAAATTAAGGGGAATCGTTTGACGAATAAAAATATTCTTGAAAATTTTCAGGTATTCGCGGGTCTACCAAATCCAATAGAAAATTCACCATCCATGAAAATTTTAAAAGCGGTAGAACAGGAACGTGAAAAAGAAATGGACAATAGCGAGACTAGTAACGATAAGATTCAAATTCATATTCGAGGACAAATCGTGCCATTGGAATTGGATCCAACTAGGGAAGACAGTTTACATGCTTCTTTGGACGCAGTCAGAGCAAAATTACCAGCTGGCGAAGATGGTAAGCGTTTGAGTTTTCATTTAATATTATCTTTTTTTTTTTTTCTTTTACAATTAATCATTGAATAATTTGTTTTGCAATCTTTTTCTCTTCTTTCCTTTTTTTCTTCTTTTTTTTCTTTTTTTTCTTCTCTTGTTCTTTCTTAAAGTTCAATTGAATCTGAAAAAAATAAAAAAAAAATATATATATATATATATATGTATAATTTACTTTATCCTTTTTAAATGAATCGTAGTTACTTTTAGAAATTATTTAATCAAAAAGATAAATTATACCGTGACGAATCATTTATAAAAAAAAAAAGTCTAATTAAGATAAAAATTTATAATGATGCTCGTGGAAGAGATTGGATATGTATTATATGTATTATTATTTAGGTTGAGAAAAGAATACACGTTCTTATTAACCAATTTGTAATTCATAAATGAACATTTCGTTTGATCTGCTTAATTATAAAACTATTTATAAAAAAGCGTTTCTTTCTCTCTCTCTCTCTCTCTCTCTTTCTTTTTCGATTCTGTGCTTAGAAGGAGTACCTCGTTAGTCGAACGACCTGAAGTTCGCAGTAGAAATAATAAAAGGGGAAGGGAAAAAAAAAATAAAAAAAAAAAAAAAAAAAAAAAAGAGAGGTAAAGAAAATGAGGAACTAACGAAGTCGAAACGCGCGTCTGTCGACTGAATCACCGAGTACTATTTCGTTTCTCTTTCTCTTTCTGTCTGTCTCTGTCTGTCTCTCTCTCTCTCTCTCTCTCTCTCTCTCGGTACTTTAATCGACTAAGAAAAAAAAAGAAGAAAAAAAAAGGAAAAAAAAAAAAGAAAAGAAAAAAAATTAGAAAAATCAAGAGAGAATCCTTGATGAAAAATTAAAATAATCGATACCTTTCGTCCATCATCAAAAAGCCATTACGAATAAGAAACAATTTTAAGTTTATTAATGCTTTAAATCTTCTATGATCCAGGTCTTTGGGCGGTGATACACACAGGCGGTTTAGCGTTACCAGGTTCTATAGAAAAGCAAACCAGTTCAGCGTGGGAATCTATGCTGCGACACAATCTGGTGGCACCCCTTAGAACGGCCAGAGTGTTTATCCCTCTTCTACGCGTTAAAAGAGGTTATTACAGTTTTATCCTACTTACTTGGCATGAACTTTTAATATCAAGTCGTGTGTATAAGCTATCTTTTTTCATTCATGTTCTCAATATTACAATTATTCTTTTTTTCTCTCTTTCTCTCTCCCTCTCCCCTCTCCCCTCTCTCTCTCTCTCTCTCTCTATCTCTATCTCTCTCATTCCTTTCTTTTTTTCTCATTTGCACGGTATTCTTATTTATGATTCTTGTTTACTCGTTCAACTAAAACGAAGGAAGAATAATAACGATCCATATATCTATACATACATACATACATACAAAAGATACATATATATATATATATATATATATATGTATGTATAGGTACGTAGATATAGGTTATTCGTTGCGCATGACATATTAACATAATGAATATTTACTTGCAAGGTCGCATCGTTCTCCTGGGTGATTCTGAGACGAGCTACGCTAGCAAAGCTGGAACAGGGCTGGTGGCATTCACTGCTTCTCGTAAAGCCGTGGAAGGGGCTGCTACGGCATTAAAGAGCGAATTACATTCTTCGGGTGTTGACGTCGTGCTTCTCAAACCACCACCCGTGAATCCCCTCGTCCTTTATGCATCGCCTGTTCTCAAGACGTGAGTCTTTCTCAAGTATTACATATATAGATATATGCATATATCGAGTATATGAATTTTTCCAAAAAGAAAATCATGATAATAATGATAATAATAATAATAATAATGACGACGACGATGATGATGATGATAATGATGATGATGATGATGATGATGATGATGATGATGATGATGATGATGATAATAATAATAATCTATATCGGAAAGATTTTTGTTCTAATTTTTATTTCATTTACGTCAGGATATTAATGAGATCATGTTTACTTATTTTTCTCCTTCTTTTTCTTCCTCATTAATTTTGTTTTAATTTTTAATTTTATTATTTATCTTCCTCTTTAACAGAGTCGACGTCGAATCCGGTGTTACGTCCTCCGAGGGAACGTGGATCGCACCTTTATCGAATTACTCGGTTCAAAACTCTCTAATACCTGCCTTAACGACACCCTGTCCATTAAGTTCGTACGATATGAGCTTGAAGACCAAATTATTCTGCCGATAAATATTAATTATAATAAGAAGGAAAAGTTTTTATTTATATAAGATTTATCTATCCTATTTCTTTCTCTCATGGAGAGGTGAAAGTGATAGACTGTAAATTTTGTAGTACTAACTAGTTAAATAACGATTTGTACAGTTTTGTAAACAATTTAGAATAAAAATGTCTAGCATAGAAAGTAGTTCTCTCTCTCTCTCTCTCTCTCTCTCTCTCTCTCTCTCTTTCTTTCTCTTTGTTATTTTTATAACTTCTTTACTCTCCTGTCACGTTTCTACAATTTTTCTTTACCACATATTCTTCACGCAGACGTTACTATACGGTGAAATCTACACTAGACACGTGTCTGCAATATTTAAAAGTAACATGCACACACACACACACACACACACATACACACACATACACGTACACATACATACGCGTGCGCGCATACATACACACATACACAGATAGTTTATTAAAGTGTTCCTTTGTTTATTTTACTCGTCTATTTATTGAAGTCTCATGTCGTAATTATCGGGAAATAGTTTTACGGACCGTCGATAATTATAGAAAAATATAAGTAAATACACTTGACAAATAGTAAAAGGAAGTAAAAAAAGAAAAAAAAAAAAAGGAGTTTCGTTTAAAACTTTCGCTATCGTTGAAATAAGAAAATCTGGATAAAAATCGGACGATAGTGCGCAACACGACACGATTATGTCACTTTTAACGAAATAAGAGTGACAAGAACGATTCATAATGCTCTCGTAATGTGAGAACTCCTGACTTTTGTTTTATTTTATTCTCTTCTCTAGTACATGTAACAATAATAAAAAGAGAACGAAAATGAAAATCTATATAACATCTTTTCTCTTTCCCATTAGTAACATCGTCTTTTTTTTTTTTGTTTTCCTCTCTATATAATTATATACATGTAATTTATATAACCAGACTTATTTACCTTTCGAAATAATCAAATGAATGTATCGATTATAATGAAAAAGAAAGGAGGAAAGAAAGGAAAAAGAAAAGAAAAGAAAAGAAAAAAAAAGAAAAAATAATGTAAAAAAGTGAAATAAATCATGACAATATAAAATCGCGCACGTGGTCGAATGAAATATGTGCATGTCAAAACAGACGAAATGATACGTTTCAATAATTATTACGATTAAAACGATTGCGAAGAAATAAAAGGAAAAAAAAAAAAATAAAAGCCCAGAGAAAAAAGAAAAAAGAAAAAAAAAGAAAAACAAATAAATAAATTAATAAAAAAATAAAAAAGGGCGAAGCTTTATTCATGACAAAGGCCAGTTTCCGCATCGTTAATATTATGGCGTTAACATTTATCATCGAATTTCGTCCGGTAGAGTATAACAAATATAAAGAGTACTATATATACATATACACACACACACACACACACACACACACACACACACACACACACATATATATATATATAGTCCCTTTAGATTTGAATAATTTTTGAAGTTGAAAACGAGTGTCATAAAAATCATACGATAAACTACAGAGTTATAATCAGATAGCTATGTCGAATTCTCTGACAGATTTTTCAAATGAAAAAGTATCGACAAGTTCATCACCTATAACTCGTTGGATATTTTTAACGTTATGATCTTTTATCGATAGGAAAAGAAAAAGATAGATAGATAGATGGATAGAGATAGAGAGATAGAGAGATAGAGATAGAGAGAGAGAGAGGAAGAGAGACAGAATGATGAGTCGACGAGTCGAGACAGGATGTAAACACATTGATTTGTTTCCTGTTTTCGAGAACTAACAGTTGGCACGAATTCTAGAAAAATGAAATTTCCTATCTCCGTTGTTTCACGATGAACGTGAAAATATAAATAATATTATGAAAAATAAGTAAGGGACGATCGATTTTATCCTATCATTTAGATCGAGAGACGATCATTACGATCTAGATTAATATTACATGTAAATACGTTCTCGTTTCTTGTATCATTATTTTTCTTACGAGATATAAAACGATCGATCGATTCGCTGATTAAAACAGGTGTAATAAATTGTACGTTTACTCTTCTCTTTTGGGTGTCCTATGGAGCGTATCGTAAAAAAAAAAAGAAAAAAGAAAAAAAACAAAAAGGAAAAAAGAAAAAGAAAAGAAAAGAAAAAAAAAGAAAAAAGAGAAAAAAGAAGAGTAAAAAGATTCGGAATTTTCTTTATAAATGAAGCCGCGTTATATACCAGCTCGTGTCTGGCGGTGACGAAAATTGAGATCGTAACGGTGCTTTTAGTGGAATTAGTATCATTCGAACGACTAGTACGAGAGAGACCAGGCCCGCCTCTTCTTACTTGTGTGTGCACTACCGAAACCGATCACAGGGTATAACAAACGAATTAGTGGTTTATAGTGGAACAGTCAGTTCGGGTCGCTATAAAACGAACACGCTTCTCCTTCTGGAGAAACAGTTCATCGTCGATTTTCCTTGGTGAAGTTTACCCATGGACATTGCCGAACTGAAGGTACGTTCTAAAATCAAAACGTGAGATAGTTTTAAATAAAAACGCAAAATACATCGTGTACGATGAAAGAGATTGATTGTTTGTAATTTATTTCAAGAAAAAAAAAGAAAAAAGAGAAAAAAAAAAAAAGACGAAAAGGCATCATTTCGCACACAATAAAATTTTACATAAAAATTTGCGATATTCTATTGAAATAAAATAAACAAAAAGTCATTTTACATCGTCGATTGACGTCTGATCAAAAACAACCGTGTGCGATAGCGACGGAAAAGGATAGCGAAAGAAAAAAAAAAATTGAATCTCATAAAGAAGTTCTCTTATATCTACTGTCTCGATAAAAGAAAAAGAGAGAGAGAGAGAGATAGAGAGAGAAAAAAAAAGGAAAAAAAAGAACTACGAAGAATTCGTATTAATATTCTACAAGCGATTCGTCCTAGATTAGGTAAGGACAAGTTTGCGGTAGAATATAATCCGAAGAAGGGTAAAAATTCTGTATGCGAAAATGGAGAAGAAGGAAATCAAGGAGATGAGGTCGAGCTTAATGTCTACGAACCGATCTCGATTTCAAGAGTTACTCTCCGACGAAATTCTTTTCGTCGATGAAAAGACGACGGTACTGGATCGTCCTTATTCCCTTTCGTCCTTCTATCCCAATTCTCTTTCGAAATTTCCTCTTCACCCTTCCTTCTTTACTTACTTACTTACTCTTACTTCCCTTCTTCCAACCTTTTCCTTTTTCTCTCTTTCCCTCTACCATCTTTCCTTATCCACTCCCCCGCCCTCCCAATTCTCTCCTTTTCCATAGAACAAATCGTGAGTACCAACGTTGAACAAAGTATTACTCGGAGTCGTGACCGTAAAGTACGAGCTCAGCGTGTTTTAGAGGTCTTTATGTGCGTTGTAAAAGCGTCTCCGCAACTTCGTTCCGCGGTGGCCGCGTCGTATTCGTGCGAAAGAATAATGGCGACTACTACTACTACTAGTACTACTACTACTACTACTACTACTATGTAGTCGACGCGTCACCCATCATATTCCCCATAGCCGTTGTCGCCAGATCCTTTGCAATTTTCTGTTACATATTATATCGCGATATCTAATAGCTCGGACTTGTCCCTGATGAAAATTAATTTCTAGAAGACGAAGAAAGATTTTGCAAAATTTTCTTCCCTGTTAACTGTGATTTTTTTCTTTTTTCTTTCCCTTTTTTCCTTTGTGTCCTTTTTTCTTTTTTTTCTTTTCCATTTTTTCTTCCTTTCTTTTTGTTTCTTTTTCTGTTTTTCTTATATGTATATATATATATATATATGTTCAACGCGATATTTCTCTTTTTTTAATATCGTTCATTGTTATTTTTTCCTTTCTTTCTTTCTTCTTTTTTTTTTTTTGTTTTTCTTGTATATTTGCAGATGTCACTGCTGTGCTTGTTCCTTTTATTTGCGGTAGTCACGGCTGTTCCGAAGATTCATCATGATGGTACGATCAAGAATAAAAAAAAGAGAGAGAGAGAGAGAGAGAGAGAGAGAGAGAAACAAAGAAAAATTGTAATATGATTTTCAATCAATTATATGTAATATTTATATGAAATGACAAACAGACGATGGGGATAAGGAAGGTGATCATGGCGGTTCCCATGGACATGCCCATTCTTATCAACATTTTATCGGACCAGTAGAGGGCCATCACCAGGAGATAACGTGGAAGGACAAGCATGGTGATCATTACCATGATTACAGAGCTCATCCAAAATACAAATTCTCTTATGGAGTTGTAGATCATCATACGAAGGATCATCACGATCAGAGCGAGCATAGGGACGGTACGTACGATTAAGCATATTAATCGTGTCTCGTGAATATTATGAATGTTGAAAGTTTTATCTTTTTTTTCTTTCTCTCTTTTTTTTTTTTTTTTTTTTTTTTTAACGAAAATATGATTTCAATAACAGGAAAAAAAGTGGAAGGAGAGTATCAACTACACGAACCAGGCGGTAATGTTAGGGTTGTCAAGTATCATTCTGATCCTCATGGTGGATTCTTTGCTGAAGTTCACAATCATGGTGGAAATGATCATTCCGGTGGTACTTATGGCGGACACAAACATCGATAAATCAATGATGGCTTAAGAATTATCGATTATTTTCATGTAAATTAAAATGTCAGAATAAATTGTCTTTGTTGATTTAATGATATCTCATGGATGTTTTAATTTATTAATGGGTTAAAAACGATCTCTCTCCTTTTCTCTCTCTCTCTCTCTCTCTCTCTCTTTTTAAATTTAGAGATTTCTTTGTACGATTTATCTTCCTCCATAGACGAATCCGAAGATCATTCGTCTTTCCTTTCTCGGTAGGAAACGTTGCGATCTGTTGGCTACTCACGTTGCAACCGGAACGATGTGCAACGAATACCAGACCGAATTCCAATGAAGTAAGCTCTTCTTTCGACCGATATTTTGCTGACAAAATGCGACAAATTGTCCGATTGTCTTTCCTCTGTCATAAAATGGTAAGGCATTTCCACCGATTCCACCTTTTCCATGATTCCATGAAAATCCTTTAGAGTCGGCAAAAGGGATCATGTCACGTTCATTACTCATTTTAAAAACGACAGATTGTTTTTGGCGAAACAATTGGAAAAGTTACGTCTAAAAAGTTTATTTTAATAATTTTGCTATCTTTTTCTGATCGATCATTGATCAAATACAAAAATAGTGTTCCCTTAGATGAATGAAATAATCTATAAAGGCCATTGTTGATCCATAGAAACTTCGAAAGTAAACTTCCGTTCTCAAATAAACTCACCATTGGGATTAGAAAACTAACGGACCATTGAATAAGGACGACAAACTTCGGTCCTACGGTAAAGACTATCTCTCAAAACAAACTCGATGAAAATAGCCAACGAAACTCTGATGGTACCTTCTTCCGGGAAAAGCAATCCAACGTCTAACGAGAGAGGAATCGAGTTAAGCCCTAGTCCAGGATGATCCTCAAGTGGAATTAAAAAAGAAAAAGAAAAAGAAAAAAGGAAAAAGATAAAGAGAGGAAAAAAAAGGAGAAGGAAAAAAGCAAAGGAAAAAAAACAAAAAAAAAAGAAAAAAAAAGAGAAAACGAAGGAAGACGAAGTGGAGAAAGAAGAAGAATTAATATCAACCAACGACGAATCACGAAATAGAAAAATGGAAGTGGAGCAGAATCGTATTAGTCGGATCACAGATCGAGTTGGTTACTTCTCGAAAAATAGAATAAAAGTGAGAAAAAGGGGTAACGATCGAGAACGGCAACCCGTCGTACGTCGATGCAACGAGAATCACGATGTGCCACGGCGTTCGTTGGATTTCTCGCGCATCGTCGAGCGTGATGAAATTGTCTCTGCTTGAGAGACTTGCTACTTCGTCTTATTCTTATTCCTAGCATTTGCAGCATCCTTCTATAGCTACTCTATCATTCTCTTTCTCTCTCTCTCTCTCTCTTTCTCTCTAATAAAAAGAATCTTGCTCGTACCGTCAACCGCATACGATTTTACGATTTTACGATTTTGCGAATGGAAGCTGAGTTACGTAACACCCACGCACTCTTCGGATCGATAAGGTCGTTGACTGTAAAGCAAAGCAAACGAATGGATACGAATAGAACTTTAAGGATATATTTGAGATTTTCCTAAAGAAAATTTTCAGATTCCATTTCAATCTATTTAATCTCTCAAGTTTACAAAGTTGATCATGACTTATAGTTCTATCTGCATTAGAGAATTCGAAAGGATGGAATATATTGAATTTTGGCAGTATAGATAAATGCACTCTAGTAGAGTGCACTTAGTAAATCGGAAGATTTACGCGTTCGTTGATTATATCGTTCGAACTTGTATATATTTATACGTTTCTCTACGTTCCAGAGAAAATTAAGGTGAAATGTGTCGCTTGTAAACGACCGATCGTAATATCCAAAGTTTTTTAATTTTTTTAAAAGATACTTTACGCCTTAACGCATACACACACACACACGCACACACACACATATATATATATATGTATATATATATATCGGACTAGAATTCAGTTACAGGGAGGAAAACTTTCGCGATTAAAATTAATTATCGGTAACATCGATCCAACTTGCATAGATTAAGTGGTTACATTATGCCGAACTTTCTTCGAGTGCTTACTTTACTTGTATGCACATAGTTTTCAATCGATCTTAATAGAAGTTAGAAACCATTGAATTATTAAAAAAGAATGTTCCTATGGGGAGAATAAGCGATATTCACCAAACTAATCAAACGAATATGACACGAGGGAAGGTAAGGTTTATTAATAAAATAAAAGTTCAACTTTGTTAAATAAATAAAATCATAGCCGTGACAATAGCCGTAGCCATAGTCATTGCCGTTGTTGTTGTCGTTGTACTTATTGTTATTGTTGTTGTTGTTGTTGTTGTTGTTATTGTTGTTGTTGTTTGTTACTGACGTTGTTAAATATTCGATGTAAATGATAAAAAATGAAGGAAGGATACTACCTAAAACATCTCAACTCATTTTCTCTCTGGAATGTTAACGAAGTTAACAGCCACATAATAGGATGCATTTTTTATCTCGGAATTTTTGAATTTCATACATACACACATACACGCACGCACACAATAGGATTTAATTGTCTTTTTCTTCTTCTTCTTCTTCTTCTTTTTTTCTTTTGTTTTTTTTTCGGTCGTTCCCTTTTTGAATCTCATGCAACAATTTCTTCGTTACATTTTTTTCTTACTATTTTTTTCTGTTTCTATTTGTTTTTTTTTCTCTCTCTCTGACATCGAAAGAGAAACGATACGACGATATTCTAAGGTAAAGATCATTATATTATGTTTTTAAATGATGACTTGATCATGATCTCCTCTTTCTAAAGTTTCATTATTTGGCTCAATATTCACGGTGGTTTTTATACGAGCTACGATAGTAGAATAAGAAATCTTTGGTCCGAGCTTATAAGAAGAGAGTATCGATCGAAAGGCACAAATTGAAATTCCATTTGGCCCGGTCATATAAACAAAATCGATTATGTTCTTCCATAAATGAAATGCAATGAATTGATGCATAGGAAAGTAGACTGCATCATGATCTCGTTCTTTTTTTCTTTTTTCTTTTTCTTTTTCTTTTCCTTTTTCTTTTTCTTTTCTTCTTCGTTCCCACCTCGATGTTATAACACCAATGGTCAATACTATTATTGTCTATACATCGTCCTATCGTCATAGTTAAATAGCGACGTAATGTCGAAATTCTCGAGTGACAGGACACGGTATATAAAGTCTCGGAATTATCGGCGAACGTATCATTCAACGTTTAGGAACCTACTCGACATCGGTAATCAACATGGCCTTCAAGGTTCGTATTCGAATAATTTCGTCTTAACGAATTATTATTCCTCGATGACGTTTAACGAATCCATTTGTACATTTAAATAGATTTATCAATTCAAGTTATTGCCTTATCGTCCATAGAAAAATTGAAATTGAAATAATATTTATCGTTTATTTATTATTTAAGACTTTATAGAATAATAAATAAAAGAAAAAAAAAAAGAAAAGAAAAGGGGAAAAAAAAAGAAAAAAATAATCCAAGTTTTAGAGAGGTTTACCACAATTTTGTACAAACATCTAATCAAACAAGGTATATATTTTAATGATTAATATTTAAGTTTGACAAGTTGAAACTTAATAATAATTTTCCAAATTTTCGAGTAACAACAATTTCGTAAAATTTAACGTTAACGCTTAAACATAACTTAACAATCTTCGTTCATAGTTCGTTATAGTTGTTGGCATTCTTGGCTTTGTTGAGATCAGCAATGCTTTTCCCGGACACGCACATAGTTTCGCACATTTTCACGGACCCGTAAAAGGCCCTCATCATGAAATTATCTCTCATGGTAAACACGGCCATCACATAGATTATGTTGCTCATCCGAAATATGAATTCTCTTATGGCATTGAGGATCATCATACTGCGGATTATCATGGACAAAAAGAGGACAGAGACGGTAATCATTTCTAAACGTACAATTATCTAATATTATTCTAACGGCAGGTTTCATTAAAATATATTTTTTATATTTAACATAGACAAGGATGTAATCGGGGAATATACGATAAAAGAACCAGGTGGTAATACAAGAATCGTTAAGTATCATTCCGATCCTCATGGAGGATTTTTCGCTCATGTTCACAATACTGATGGCAATAATCACGAAGGTGGTACTTATGGTGGTCATGGTCATAAACACGGTCATGGACATTAACAACCGTAATAATATTAAGGAAAAAGTTAAAGAAATAAAAGAACGGAAATATTTAAACATAATGATTTAACGTTATTTAAATGATCGTACATGCATTAGTTTTATATCATTTTTCTTATTTCAATCGTTAAATATAATAATATTAGAATTAATACAATTTAATTTAATAAAATTAAAACTGAAAAGTGTTCCTCATTTATTCACATTATTTTTTTTTTCTTTTTCCTTCCTATTTCCTAATCGGAAAAATAATATTGGGAAATATTGAATCTTGCGAGATCGAAAAGATTCTTTTTCTCTTCCTTTCTTTTTTTTCTTTTTTTTTTCCTTTTTCTTTTTTTTTCTTTTTTTTTTTTTTTGTTTTTTCTTTTCAGTCCGACTAGAAAATCGCATCCGTGATTTCAGAGAAAAACGATCGACGTCCCACGATGAATCTGCAAAAATATGGTACCCGTAACGATCTCAATACCAGCGTAGTCAAGGTATCGAAGAGAAAAATATAGCATCACTGGTATTTCTATCGATCACGACGCGTACACATCGGACAGGCCGATGCGTCGCGGTGTCGTTTCAATAAATTTCTCAGACTTTATCGCAGTTGAATGAAAAAGGGTCGGTAATTCTGAAATTCAGCGTAAAAGGTTGCTTTCTCTCTCTCTCTCTCTCTCTCTCTCTTTCTATCTCTATCTCTCTATCTCTCTATCTCTCTTTCTCTTTCTCTATCTCGTCTAAACATTCGGATATTGTTCGATAAAATCCTATCTCTTTCTCTTTTTCTTTCTTTCTTTCTCTCTCTCTCTCTCTCTCTCTCTCTCTCTCTCTCT